GCGCAGGGGGATGACGTCACGGGGCAAGGGTGGCCGGGAGGCGTCGCAGGGGAAGTGACACGGGGCAAAGGTGGGGGATTTAAACCCGGGGCTGGCACGGTACAGGGAAGGACGGTGGACAGAGCAAGGGAAGGAGGGACGGAGGAAGAGGTGAGGCAGGAGAGGTCAAGGGAAGTGGGCCGGGAGGCCTGGTGGAGTAGGAAGCGGCCCAGGGCAGGGTCGTGGAGCCCGTGAGCGGGTGTGTTTTGGGGCATTCCCCCATCCGCTAGGGAGGGACCACGGGTCCCTGCCTTTAGGGCCCTGGGCCGGGGTTCGGAGAGGGGGCGGGCCCGAACCCCCCTACTCCGCCGGCAGGCCGATCCGGCTCGGGTGTAAACGCGATCTTGCGTAATAAAAAAGGGCCACCGGCCTAGATGGCGGCTACCCAGGCTTAGCCTTCTGGGGTCAGATCAGCCGTGAGTGGACTCCGAGGAATGAACTAGTTTACACCAGCTTTATATATAAGCTTTACACTGCAGAGTCCTCAGTGTGTGTAAAATGCAAGTACAAAGATCAGTACAGATTCTTTAGAGAATAGTAGGAATATGGTTATTTCTTTGTGCCCAGTTGTAGAGGTAAATGCATCTGGTTAACAAGAGCTAATTCCACTGCTCAATTTAAAAAAAAAAATCTCATTCAACTAGACATTACACTACTACTTATCCAAACGTCAGCATAAATTTTCCACTAAGTGTGTGAACTCAATTTACAGATGTGAAATTTTCTTCTCCACATTTTCAAAATGTAAAGGCAACAGTAAAATCATCAAAGGCTAGGTCTACACCAAAGGGGAAGGTTCAATTAAGATAGGCAACTCCAGCTATGTTAACTACATAAGCTGGAGTAGATGTGCCTTGATTCGAGTTTCCCTGCTGTCCCCATGGCAGAAGGCCAATAGGAGCAAATATCTCCCTTGTTTTCCCATACTCCTTGCAGGAGAAATAGTACTGGTCGCTGACGGGCACCCTCAGAGTTTGATTTAGCAGGTCTTTACTAGATTAATGGGGAAGATTGACACTGCCGTGATCAGAGACATGGCCTTACTCTCCAATACACACAAGAGTCCCTTCGAATTACCATCTCAATCATGGATCTCCAACTTCAAGCAAGCTTGTGTTGCAAAGGGAGAGCCAGAGCTATACACCAAACTGATAGCCAGGCAATTAAATATATGCAGTAAGTTAGCTAAACGTAGCTTTCATTGTACTGAAAATTTAAGAGTATTTGGTTATATTTATAGTTATATATTTAATATTATTGTGCAATCCAGATCATTCTGCATTAGTGACCTGTCCTCTTCATTATTTACTACTCTTATTGTATCATGAGCAAACTTTATCAGCGACGACTGTCTTCTTCCAAGTCGCTGCTAAAAATATTAAACTGCACAAGGCCAAGATTGATCCCGGAGGAAGCCTACTAAGAGCACCCGTACTCAGAGGATTCCCCATTTAAAATTACATTTTCAGTCCTATCAGTCTGCCAGCTTTTAATCTACTCAATGTGTTAACTTTGTACTGCTCTAATTTTTTTAATCAAGACGTTGAGAAGTATGAGTATATGACATCAACAACATTAACTTTGACAACCAATCTTGATATTTTTGATGAAATTACAAGTTAGTTTGATAGGATCTATTTTCCATAAACTCACATTGACTGGCTTTCATTACAGCCTCCTTTAATTCTTTATTAATGCACTTCCATATCATCCATTCCATTATCTTGATCAGGATCGATGCCAGATTGACTGACCTATAATTACCTAGGTCATCCCATTTGACCCTTTTAAATATTGGCACATTAGCTTTCTTGCAGACTTCTGGAACCTCTTTGCTATATGACTTAATTAAAATCAACATGAATGGCCCAGAAAGCTCCTCAAAGAGCTCTTAAAATCCTTTGATGACATTATTTGGACTTGCTGAATTAGTGTCTAACTTTAGTATCTGATATTTACTACTGTGGGAGTTTGGCACAACTGCATAATGCTGAATTTGCACAGAAGTGAATATTGTGTGCACATCAGTTTCATCTTTCCTCCCCCCCTACAGAAATGGACTACAGAGCTGCTGGCCCTGGTAGAGCACAGCTCACAGATAGAAGACATTGCCAGAGGAATGGAGAGAGAGCTGGAGTTCCTTATACACCTGAAGGAAGGAGGTGGTGTGCAGGAAACTCCACACAAGACCAAGCATCAGCTTTTTTTAAAGTTTCTTTTCATATGGCACGCATTCTAAATCCCTAATAATTGTTGTTGCCATTTGCTCAACTTTTTCCAGTGCTAAGATATATTTTTGAGATACGGCGACCACATCTGTATGCAGCTGTCAAGATGAGGGCGTACCATGGATTTATATAGAGGCAATAAGATATTCTGTTTTATTGGCTATCCCTTTTTTAATGATTCCTAACAATGTTTGTTTTGACTGCTGCTGTGTACGGAGTGGATGTTTTCAGAGAACTATCCAGAATGGTTCCAAGACTTTCTAAAGTGGTATAATTAAATTTAGTCCCCAGCATTTTGTACATATAGTTGGGATTACGTTTTCCAATGTGTATTACTTTGCATTTATTAACACTAAAATTCATTTGCCATTCTGTTGCCCAATTATCTAGTTTTGTGAGATCCTTCTGAAGCTCTTCATAATCTGCTATGTTGAACAGTTTAGTATCATTTGCAAATTTTGCCACCTCACTTTAATAGTTAAATGTAAATTATTTAAAAGAAGTTTCAGCAGCTACTCCTTTATACAAGTTGTGTGTAGGGAGAGGGCTTTTAAGCTGACTCCCTGCACATACAGACTCCCAGCCACTTGCCCTGCCCTCCACCCCCCACTGCTACCTCTGTATCAGATGTAAAGGCTCATAAAAGTCAGCTCTCTGTGGCACTGGCTCCTATCTGCTCTCTCCTTGCCCCACTCGCTCTGTAACAAAGGCAACAGCGGGTGGTGGGGGAAGGTGCACAGAGAGGCATACCTCTAAACATGAAGGTTAACCAATGAGTCCAGGGTCATTGGTTAATACAAGGTTCATGGTAAACGATTCCACAAAAGCTACTTCTTAATTGGCAAAGATTAGATATTGGGGAAGTTTTTCTTACCAATGGTAGGATCATGGTCCTCTGGGAAGCGGTGGCTGATAAACTGCATAGTCATTGCTGAAAAATAACATTGGATAACACAGTTACACAGATGACTCCACACAGCTGACCAAGTTGTTTTTAACTGACAAAAGCTTATGCCCAAACAAATCTGTTAGTCTCCAAGGCGTCACAGGACTCACTGTTTGCAGATACAGACTCACACAGAGGCCAGTGATCTCCAGGCCTCCGGAGGAATCTCACAAGTGGAGGTGGGGGCCGGGTGAATTGCAGAAGTGCTGACGGTACAGACACATGGAGGTGATTCGAGGGGAGCAGGGCAGGGGGAAAGGCACATCGTGTTCCCTGTCAATCTCACGGGCGATAGGGCAACATGGAAACGATCAGTGTGAAGCCCTAAGCGCTGCTCTCTGCCCCACTGGCTCCCCCACACGAAGGGCTCTCGGAGATTGGGGAAAACAGGGGAGCAGGGCAGGGGGAAAGGCACATCGTGTTCCCTGTCAATCTCACGGGCGATAGGGCAACATGGAAACGATCAGTGTGAAGCCCTAAGCGCTGCTCTCTGCCCCACTGGCTCCCCCACACGAAGGGCTCTCGGAGATTGGGGAAAACCCGAGCTTGAGACTCCCGAACGGCCAGGTAGTAAGGGTCACTGGCCACCCCCCTCACACCTACACC